GGCTGAAATTCTTTGGGGCATAGTGTTAACCAAGTTTTGGACTGCTAGAAACCCATTTTATTTATATTTATGCTGCAAATTTGATTAGAGAGTGATAAAGTTGGTGTTTTCTACTATATATTATCAAAATATTCATTGTTAATAGTTTAAACCTATATCGCCCTGCTACATTTTTATTATTTGTGTTTGATAAGAAAAAAACTAAGATTTCAATATTTGGGCCAACTGAAGTGGGAAGGGGCTCGTATATATTGAATGTTCTGCCATAAAAAACTGGCCAAAAAAGATAGTGATACGACCCAATGAAATTTGCGCTTACGATCAGCAAAACATCTCAATGCTCCCCAAATTGTGCCAGGGTAGTCTAAAAATAATTGTTCAAATCGTTAACAAGTTATCTGCTCACTTGAAATTTCAATAGTTCCTTTTCGATTTCAATAGATAAAAATATTTTTTTATCGTGTGATCAACTCATATTACTGTCGTGCCTAGTTTGCATTGATATGTGAGTGATGTGTACGTTATTTCAAGTGGAAAACAACCCTTCTGCGATTGACATGAAAAACAATTGATTCTAAAAACAAGTTCACATTATTTCACAAATGCACTATGTGGAAAACATACGTTTACGTTCATGTGCTAGGAAAATTATTCGCTAAAGGGAATATAATGTAAGTAGATTGCTAAGTACTGGTGTGCATGGCTATTATACATTATTACGAGTATATCCTTAAAAAAAAATGTTCTTAGATTAGTCCTAGGCTAATATGAGTCCGTAAAATCGGATACTCTATTTATATAAAAAAAGGGAACGGCTGATTCATTTACAGACACTCTTTCAAATAATAGACACTCTTGACCGCAGCGTCTTTCAAAGAAATAATTTGAATTTTAATGTCTGTCATCATCGATAATTTCGATAACTCAACAAAAAGTTTATCGTTTTTTTGTGATTTTGGAAAAAGTGCTGACAAATGAATCTTCCATTATAATACCAAAATTATCCACTAGAATTTTACTTACGATGAATGTTATCTTAAAAACAATTTGTCGTAGCTGTACAATCACTGGAAGCATTTCATACCATGATTATACTTAGACTGTTGACGACGTACTGACCTCAAATATATCTATACCTATTGACTCACCCCAAGTTCAGGAAAATATGTTCTGACCTTAATTTTGCACGTAACTTTACGTGCATATGAGGAAGGATCGTCCATATTTCAACAATGAATTTCACTTAGCTTTGATGACAATTTTACATTAGGTTACTTGACTAACTGCTTGCATGTTCATAAGTTAAGATCTTATCTGTACAATTAGACATTGCTGGTTAGAAAAGAATCAATAACTATGAGGTGAGCGGGTATATTAAAGCTATATTTTCAAAAGGGTGAAATAGGCAACGGTTGATATCATGGGTTGCTATAAGAATACTTTTCTTTGGAAAGGAGCAAACAAATATTTTGGACGAAAACTAAATAGTAACGGGAGTTAGTACTAGTTCGACAGCCTTAAATATGACAAACATTTCTGCATATGGAAAAAGGTATTTATACTAAGTGACATATAAATCCGAACACCCAGTTTAAATGGTTTTATTTTAATAAAAGTTGGTGAATGTATTTATCTTACTGTAAATAACAAGTGAAAAAATTGTCAGCCTTATCAGTTGGACATTCCGGTTTTTATACTGCTTTTTTTTAATTCACTAACGCTCTAAAAATGAATATTTCAGCCGCAGTAAAGAATCAACGTTGGCGGATTTTGGTTCTTGACATCCTTTACGATCGGTTACGATCCGTAGAGTACGGAGACCTGTACGATTTCGTCAACTTAGTGAGTTTGATAGGGGCCGTATAGTGGGACTTCGGGAAGCTGGACTTTCTTTTCGGGCAATTGCAGTTAGAGTGCAAAGAAGTGTAGACACTGTGGTTAGGTGTTGTCAGGCATGGCGTCGAGAAGGCCGTACGCAAAGAGCAAGGGGCACTGGACGCCGCCGTAGAACAACAGACCGTGAAGATCGCCGCCTAAGATTATTGACCTTAAGGGACCGTTTCTCCACTACCAGGTCCATTGCAAATGAATGGTTTGCAGAACACGGAAGACCTATTGGCATGCGAAGTGTTTACCGACGAATGAGAAGTTTTGGCTTGTTTTCATACCGGCCACACTGGGTCCTCCTTTTAACTCGAGAACACCGACGTAATCGCCTTGAGTGGTGCAGACAACGGTCACTCTGGGATCAGGAATGGAACAGTATTGTCTTTAGTGACGAGTCTCGATTTTGTTTAGGCATGCACGATGGTCGTGCCAGGGTTAGAAGGCGACGTCGTGAAAGGAGGAATCCACAGTTTTTTGTTGAAACACATGTTCATCACACTGTTGGAGTTATGGTTTGGGGTGCCATAGCTTATGGTTCCAGGTCACCTTTAATCTTCATCAGAGGTAACCTGAACGCGCAGCGTTATATCCACGAAGTTCTAGAACCCCATCTTTTACCCTATCTTGACACCCTGGCAGATCCAACTTTCCAACAAGATAATGCCCGACCACATGTTGCAAGAGTCACAATAGACTTCTTTCAACATAATGATGTCACATTGTTACCATGGCCACCAAGATCTCCCGACTTATCCCCAATTGAGCACGTGTGGGATATGATGGGCAGGAGATTGCTCAATTTGCAACGTCCTCCTCAGACTCTAGAAGCACTTCGAGAGGAGTTGGTGGTTGCCTGGAATGAGATACCACAGGAGGACATTGACCACCTGATCAGAAGCATGCCTAGGCGCGTTGGAGAATGCGTAGCACATCAGGGTGCATCCACACATTATTAAAGGTCAAAGGGCTTTAAAGCAGTGCAATCATTTTGAAATTTTTATCATTTACTTATTATGCTTCATTAAGTACTTATACAAAATTTTATTAAAATAAAACCATTTAAACTGAGTGTTCGGATTTATATGTCACTTAGTATAGTTAAAAATGAGCACCAAAAACATGATAATGTCGGCATACATCAAGTTTGGGAAGTATATTTTCTCTTCTTCAGAAAGGCTGGGATATTTCTAGATTTCTACTGTTCCGTGTCAGCATCAGCGCTCTTCTGATAATGTTTTCTTTTTGAATTGTAAGAAATTTCAGGCTGATAATACAGATGATAGAAAGGGATAAACAATTTGAAACAAATAGATATTTGTAACATAGCCCAAAATAAAGCGCCTTTCTGAATAAGAGGAAAAACTACGAAAATCAAGGAGGCCATGAGGGCGTCCTGGCCTCAAGTACGCTTCTCGAGAGTGAAGACAAAAGCATCTAACCCTAAATTAGCAACATCTTATAGCCACATCTCCCACGTAAGCGACAGATTACATGAGTACTTTTATTAAGGTTGGAAATATTTGTCGTGATAAAATAATGAAAAATGGTTCGCGAATTAAGAGGGTTGATCCAGACATATGGCTGATTAGTGTGACTGGATCTTTCTGGGGAAATTTTCTTGGACCAACCCTCCTAGTTCCTAGAGCTGGTTCCTCTTAGTGGACGTGGCTTATTACAGCGAAATCAACTGGAATACCATTAGCCATGGACAGCAAATTACCAAAAACTTTGCCATCTCCTCAGATTCTTATACTGTGGACAGGAAAGGCTGCGCTACGTCTAAACTGGTATTTTTCCATTTCAGGCAGTTATGGAGATAGCTTCTTCCAGCAAACAAGTACAATGAGATTCATCATACGACAAAAACTAACCAAAAAAGAGAACCTAATTCTAAGATCGGAAATTGAGAAGAACGCCTTTCGTGTAGCAATGAGGGCTCCCCTGATTGTAGCCCAAGTCTTCGGATTCTTCCCTATACAACTAGGTGTTGGCGATACGGCAAAATTCAAGTGGTTTTATTGGAAAGTGGCGTATAGTATAGCATCTGCAGCGATCTTCACGCTAGTATTTCTCAACAGGGTCTATTTTGAGATGCCAAAGAGACACAGCATCATTTCGATAGGTTTGAAAAGATCCACCTATTAAGGGCACTATGTTTGGTTTGCAATATATTTTTTTCTTCACTTAGTATACCATAGAAAGATATTTCGCACATCTAGTTTCACACTAACAGAGTAGTCTCAACACAAGGGTTTTGGCACAAAATACTTTTTTAATGAAGGAATTTATTTAAGCACTAACTAGCTATCATAAATCACAACTCAATGCTTAACTAAAATATACTATCGAATTATGTGGAGGTGCCCATTTTGCTCTTTTTTCGAGTGTCTTTCATGGGGTCCTGGACGAAATTCAGATCAATTTCTATCAGTTTTTCGTAAATTTGCCGTCTTAACTGTTCCTCATCTTGGGCTTCCGAGCCTCCATGATAAACCTTAGACAATAAAGCCCAAAAATACTCCATTGGGCGACCATAAAGTACGTAAACAAACTTTTGTTTCCAAAGGCAACTTGATATTATTTTGTGCTTGTTAAAGTTAAAGCGAATACATTTTGTGCCAAAAGTTTTATGGCTAATAAAGCCAGGAAAAATTGTAAATACCTAGATGGCTCCTAATTTTTGAACTACCTTCCACCGAATTCCAAATTGTCTTTTAACTTATCAAATGGTTTGACCTTTTCTTGCTACAAAAGCCATACGTTTGCAAGCATATGGGTCTTACTATTTTTTTTTACTTCCTAGCATTGATTGTCGTATTCTTCCTGGAGAGCCAAGCAGCGTCCAAAAAAAGGATCCGAAAATGAATTTTGAAGATAGAGTGTTTGGTTCTGCCCCTGTCCCAAAGGTGGCGCTAGTATCCGTTAGATCCCTTTTTATGCACCGGAATGGTTGGCTATCGTCAGGAAGAATACGATATAATAAATGTTCCTAGATAATACTATTGATTCTGATATTTTTTAGATGGAACAATCTTTGACCTTTCATCGGTAATACAATGGCTTATACTGCTACAAATTTCCAAAAGATGGCCAAAATTTGTCAAGGAATGGTGCCGCGTTGAAACCAGAATGAGGAATTATAAATTTTATGGCAACTTGAAAAGGAAGATAGGCCTCATAACTTTTGGTATACTAACATTTGCGGCAGGTACTATATTTCTGGAAAAGAGACTTCTTCCTGTTCATTTTTGTTTTAGTTGAGCATTTTCTAATAAACCTAAACAGCTTGTCCAAAAGCCTCAAATCAGCGGAGAGCGTTGAAAAAGGCTTTGAGTTTTACTTTACTTCTTCAAATTTTGCTAGAATATTCACATTCGTCCCGTACTCTTTATGGAAAGGGTTCTTACTAGAGGTAAGCTACTATCAAATTCCACAGAACTACTCAGCTCTCAGCGGCTACAATATTAGGGCGTCTCTATCTAGAGTTAGGCACAAACCTCCACCCTTGAGAGGTACTAACAACACAGATCGATAGTCCAGTTGAACTAGGAAATGTCAAGATAATATCGGGGTTACGAATCATAGAGTCTTTTGGTCCCAGATAAGTGAAAGAAGTGGCTCGATGCGAAGCTAGCCTTCCAAAATACAACATCGCAAAGTGGATTACGTAGTAGTACACAATGTTTTTTTTACAGTTCGTCAGTCTCCAGAAGGCATTTCTTTGGACCTACTCGGATATATTCATTATGATCATAGGTGTATCATTACAGTACAAATTGCATCAAATAAGAGAACAAATCCATATTATGATCGAATCTAAGGTAACTATATACCCTGTTATTCCAAAAGGAGCAGGACATGTGTAAAGACTCAAGAGTAGCATCACTGACCCAAACATTTCTCAGCCTCGTCGATAGTATGCCCAGACATCAAATATTCCTCTGCAACGCTGTCACTCTAGAAATGTTTGTTCCGCAAAGTGATCCTACTGCACGTTTCTGTGTACTCCGATATTAGTAGTCACATTAATCCATTCGTTTGGTTATTCTGGTGCTCCGTCTGAATGTTCACTCTGCTACTATACCCGCGCTGTTATGTCAGTTTTTTCGCAATATCTCGATTACCCTTTCTACGGTAAAGTATATATATATATATATATATATATATACAGGGTTATCCAAATTAAGTGTCCACCATTAGTAACTTTGTTATTAGTGAAAATACAAAGTTGTTTGAATTAGCAAACTAGTAGCATTTTTAACGCTGGTAAAAATGAGAAATAAAAAAAAACAATTGAGAGTCGTTATTTTGATTTTTTTCAGTAAAATAACATTTTTTTAAATAGAAACCCCTGTATATTATATTTTTTTCTGTTAAAGCATCAAATTTTAAACAAAAAAGCTTACAATAACTTTTCTCCTAGGTTACAAATTGTTGAAGTTATGGCCTCCAATCTGAAACAATTAAATTGTATCGACAAACTTTATTTTCAACATCAACTTATAACCTTACAAAATACAATAACAATTTTTTTTAAAGAAGATGCTCGAAAACACCACCTTGTTCTTCAATACATTTTTGGACACGTTTTTCAACTGCTCGAACTGTCTTAAGTATGGTCCTACCATCTATCTGGGTTATCTTTTCCCTAACTGCAGTCTTTAACGCGTCAAGGTTATCGTACCTTCGCTTGTAAATTTGGTTCTTCAAGTAACCCCACAAGAAGTAATCAAGTGGGTTTAGATCTGGTGATCTGGGAGGCCACTGTATTGGGCCATTTGTTCCTATCCACTGATCATTAAAAGTAGTACTTAGAAAATGATAAGTACCTCTGGAGTTGTGGGCAGGTGCGCCATCTTGCTGAAAATGCAGATGATGTCTACTTATAAGATCCAATTCGTCTAAGAAATTAGTCAGAATTTCTGACATAAATTCCACATATCTTTCACCAGTTAGGGTTCCCTCATAAAAGAACGGGCCAACAATTTTTGAACCAATTATACCGCACCAAACGTTGAAACTGAAACGGACTTGTGGGCCTCTTGGATGTACTAACAAAAGATTTTCTCTTGACCAATAATGGTGGTTTTTTCTATTAAACATTCCAGAATTTGAAAAATTTGATTCATCTGTCCATAAAAGGTAACGAAAGTTATTTACATTTTGGCGACAGAAGCTAAGATACCAATGGCAAAAAACAAGTCTTCTCTCTGGATCCCCTGCCAAAAGCGTTTGAACTGGTCGGTACTTATACGGAATAAATTTGTATTTTTTTAAAATCCTTTGAACAGTACCATAACTGAAATTAGAATCCTTGAGAATATCTGCTATTGAATTCTCACGATAAGCTTCAAAATATCCAATAACTGCAATTTCCGTGGCCTCGCTTATTATGAATTCTTTTTTTGCCCTTGTTTTAGCAAAAACATTTTCGTTGCCCCTAAATTTTCGATAAAGTCTCAGAAAATATCGTTCATACGGTTGAATGCGAGCGGGATATAATTCACTGTAGTATTCTCTTGCTCTCAAGGAGGATTTTCTGCACACTAAATAGCATTCTAACATATCACACTTTTCTTCATGTGAGAACATTTTTCTTTAAATTAATGACACAATAAAGCTTATAAACAAGTATTTACACTAATGTTTGACATTATATGATTTTATCATTGTTTTCCAAAGCCTTCTAGTTGCGAGTATGTCCAGTTTAACAATTTGTCGCTTATCTTAATGCTGTCAAATCGCGAACGCCATGTTGTTTTCATAGCCGTCTTAATATTATAATACTGCAAATAATTAAAAATATTTATCGTTATTTTGACTTTATTTTTGACTTTAGCGGAAAAGTCATTATGAACTTTTTTGTTTAAAATTTGATGCTTTAACAGAAAAAAATATAATATACAGGGGTTTCCATTTAAAAAAAATGTTATTTTACTGAAAAAAAATCAAAATAACGACTCTCAATTGTTTTTTTATTTCTCATTTTTACCAGCGTTAAAAATGCTACTAGTTTGCTAATTCAAACAACTTTGTATTTTCACTAATAACAAAGTTACTAATGGTGGACACTTAATTTGGATAACCCTGTATATGAACTTTAAACGGTTGACATGTTAATTTTCGAACCTTAAATGGTTGACTTATGTCCTTTTGGAACCTTAGATGGTTGATTTATGTTTATTTTGAAACCTTAAATGGTTGACATGTTAATTTTCGAACCTTAAATGGTTGACATGTTAATTTTGGAACCTTAAATGGTTGATATGCTTATTTTTTGTACTTGTAATTAAAATATTTTTGGATCCTTAAATGGTTGACTTATGTCTTTTTGGAACCTTAGATTGTTGATTTATGTTTATTTTGGAACCTTAAATGGTTGACATGCTAATTTTTGATCCTTAAATGGTTGACATGTTAATTTTGGAACCCTAAATGGTTGATATGTTTATTTGTTGTACTTGTAACTAAAATATTTTTCAAACCTTAAATGGTTGACTTATGTCCTTTTGGAACCTTAGATGGTTGATTCATGTTTATTTTGGAAACTTATATGGTTGACATGTTAATTTTCGAAACTTAAATGGTTGACTTATGTCCTTTTGGAACCTTAGATGGTTGATTTATGTTTATTTTGGAACCTTAAATGGTTGACATGTTAATTTTCGAACCTTGTTTATTTTTTGTACTTGGAATTAAAATATTTTTGGATCCTTAAATGGTTGACTTATGTCCTTTTGGAACCTTAGATTGTTGATTTATGTTTATTTTGGAACCTTAAATGGTTGACATGCTAATTTTTGAACCTTAAATGGTGGACATGTTAATTTTGGAACCCTAAATGGTTGATATGTTTATTTGTTGTACTTGTAATTAAAATATTTTTCAAACCTTAAATGGTTGACTTATGTCCTTTTGGAACCTTAGATGGTTGATTCATGTTTATTTTGGAAACTTAAATGGTTGACATGTTAATTTTCGAACCTTAAATGGTTGACTTATGTCCTTTTGGAACCTTAGATGGTTGATTTATGTTATTTTGGAATCTTAAATGGTTGACATGTTAATTTTCGAACCTTAAATGGTTGACTTAATGATCCGAACCTTAATTGGTTGACATGTTAATTTTGTAACCTTAAATGGTTGATATGTTTATTTGTTGTACTTGTAATTAAAATATTTTTCGAACCTTAAATGGTTGACTTATGTCCTTTTGGAACTTTAGATGGTTGATTTATGTTTATTTTGGAACCTTCAATTGTTGACATGTTAATTTTCGAACCTTAAATGGTTGACTTATGTCCTTTTGGAACCTTAGATGGTTGATTTATGTTTATTTTGGAACCTTAAATGGTTGACATGTTAATTTTCGAACCTTAAATGGTTGAAATGTTAATTTTGGAACCTTAAATGGTTGACATGTTAATTTTGGAACCTTAAATGGTTGATATGCTTATTTGTTGTTGCAATTAAAATATTTTTTGAACCTTAAATGGTTGACTTATGTCCTTTTGGAGCCTTAGATGGCTGAATCATCTTTATTTTGGAAACTTAAATGGTTGACATGTTAATTTTCGAACCTTAAATGGTTGACTTATGTCCTTTTGGAACCTTAGATGGTTGATTTATGTTTATTTCGGAACCTTAAATGGTTGACATGTTAATTTTCGAACCTTAAATGGTTGACTTAATGATCCGAACCTTAAATGGTTGACATGTTTATTTTGGAACCCTAAATGGTTGATATGTTTATTTGTTGTACTTGTAATTAAAATATTTTTCGAACCTTAAACGGTTGACTTATTATGTCCTTTTGGAACCTTAGATGGTTGATTTATGTTTACTTTGGAACCTTAAATGGTTGACATGTTAATTTTCGAACCTTAAATGTTTGACTTATGTCCTTTTGGGCACCTTAGATGGTTGATTTATGTTTATTTTGGAACCTTCAATGGTTGACATGTTTATTATTGTTCTTTTGAATAAATAATAAAAAAAAATGATAAAAAAATCATTAGAAGGTTGACAAAAATTTGTATCTTTCGCACCTAGTTAGCTGTATTATTCCGAATCAAAAGGCGAAATGGTGTCTAACATTACGTTAAGAATGTTTTACCGTAACATATATATATATATACATATATATTTAAACGGCCAGATATTATGAAAAAACCGCCCTTAGGGGAAACGTACGTGAACGTCCAGACAAGGCACATCAAAATTGATAAAAGCGCGTCCTTTTTTCACCAAAACCTTGCATGCAACTTCGTTTTGGTCACCAAGTCATTGTACGATATTAATTTTAGATAAAAAACGAGAACATATGGCTCTCAATAAGAAAAGATTACCTTCTGCTGATCAGGCTATGCAAAAAGACAAACGATACGGTCTCAACCCTGATCGTAGGAAGTTTTATGATCAACATGTATTTCGTGCTCAAGCAGATGTTCAAGAGTTTGATGCGAATCGAGAATACCGTTGACAGAGTGTACTTCTACATGTCCTTTGCTTTACTCATCATTCGTTTGGGTTTTGTTATCATTTTTGGAAGCGCTGTCAATGAGGAGTGGAAGGATATTGGGTTCCTGCTGCACTCGGTACCCACTGAACTGCACAATCCTGAGGTACTTAACTATAGTAGACTGTAGAACCAGCTTGAGATATGAAGGGTATTTAAATTCGCCAACGAATTGACTTGGACATGTGTCATTTGAGACACATCTTAAGCATTACGAAAAGGGCTAGTCAGAGATTTGAGTCTATGCTTTTTTGAGTCGCTGAAACAGAATCCATCTATAGTCAACGCCAAACAAAGTGGCGTGCACGTCATCACGATAAAAATTCCCCGACCTAATGCCTAGGTTTCTATCACAAACAATTGCTCTATTGCAGTTTCATATTAATGTGATATATAAATTGTAAAATGGTCATTACTCTCTTATTATGGTTAATAGTCATATAAACATTGTTATTAAAATATGACATAAGTTGCTTTCTGATAAATTTAGACGCATTATGCGAAATAAAATGTTTTGCAAACGCTCCAATCACTTATCGACATGTAAACGCACTAAACCGATTTCGCAGCGTTGACACATTGTCACCTTGAAACTTATTTAAACTGGGAACTGACATTTGTATTAATTTTGACACTGAATCAATTTGTGGCATTTCAAATCTTTATAAATCCTTTGGCCCCGCATACTGTAAATCAACAACTGTTTGTTTCAAAACAAAATTATTCATTTTACGAGTAGATAAAAGCAATTTTGGTATATAAAGATGCCCAAACAGTTAAATAGTCGGTGTAAGGAACTCGTGGCCTCGTTAATGCGCTACTTTGAGCAAGAAAGGGACAACAACGGGCCTTTGTTGCCTTTAAATGCTGTTCAAGAGGTAGGTTACTAATAATTATATGTAATGTATATTAATAATAGTGAAATTTTATTTCATTTTTTGTAGCGTGTTGCTGCTGCTTTAAAAATTAGTTTAAGGACAGTTAGTCGTATTTCCGAGGGTGTGAAAAGTGATGCAAATTTAGAATCGCCCAAGAAAAAGCGGAGTTATATTAAACGTGTAACCAACACAGCGACATTGGATACAAGTGCCATTCGAGAAGTGATCTATAATATGTATCACAAAAGTAAGATCTTATTATAATAACTTATCAGAAATTTGCATTAATTTGTTAACTAAATTATAATGTCATATTACACATGGTTTCAGAAGAACAAGTTACGATACAAACTTTATGGTCTCGATTAAGAGATACGTCTTTAAGGCGGTTGCTTAGAGATCTTGGATTTTTTTAAGCTTAAGGACAATCCGCGACGAGGGCTCATGGAACTACCAAGTATAGCTTTGAAAAGGGTGGAACTTCTAAGGCAATACAATCAAGCCAAGGTTGAGGCCTTATACCAGTTTGTCTTCCTCGATGAAACTTGGATATTTCAAAATGGGACCATAGATCGCTCTTGGCAAAATGGAAACCAAAAAAGCGTGAAAGCTATTAAAACAGATGGTAAAAGGTATGTACTTTTACACAATTTGCACTATAACATTTAAAACTAATATATTTTAGATACATTATATTACATGCTGGAAATGAAAATGGGTTTATTGAGGGTAGTGAAGCGATATTTTCTTCGAAAACAAAATTGAGCGATTACCATGGAGAGATGAACCAGGACAATTTTTTGAAATGGTTTCAACATCAGTTATTAGAAAAATTGGAGAGTCCATCTATGATTATACTGGATAACGCCCCTTATCACAGCATGATATTGAACAAAGTGCCCAACAATGCATGGACAAAAAAAAATATCCAAGACTGGTTGACAAATCAAAACATACCATTTTTAAACACAATGTTTAAAACAGAGCTATTGAGTATTGTTGCTCGGTACATAATGCTTCTTAATTATATATATTTTGGTCGACAGTTTATATTTCTTTTGTTTATTCCTATTCTTAAAATAACTGCTTTTTTAGAAACAAACCACCTAAAATATACGTGATTGATGAATTGGCGGAACAACATGGGCACAAAGTTCTTCGTCTGCCTCCTTACCATTGTATATTTAACCCTATTGAGTTAATTTGGGGCATAGCAAAAGGTTACTATAACAGACATATTGGTAGAGATGGTAACAGTGAAAAAGACTGTTTGGATATGTGGAACGAGGCTCTACAAACGGTTACCCCAGACATGTGGAAAAATAGTGTTCGACATACTGAGCAAGAAATTTTTAAATGGTATGAAAGAGAACGAATTTTTGATCGACCAGACATCGAACCTTTAATAATCAACTTTGGGAGTGATGAAGATTCAGATTCAGACAGCGCTGAAGAAAGAAACTCCGACTAACTTTATTGTACAGAAAAAGCTTACACCAGTAGCTTACCTAATTTTAGAATGCATTTTTCTGTATGAATTCTGTAAAATAAATACCATGCATAAAATTTGGAGGACCCCATTTGGATTTTTATTCAGTACCTTTAAGCTATCAATTAAATATGGTAGTTTCATAGTGTCATCTGATCAATAATTGTCATACTTAATGATTATGCAAGTACAGATCTATAATTTTATTATACTATTATTTTTGTTCTCATTTGAGGTTAATATTGCTTATAAACCTAGATATGTAAATAATAAATTTTATTATTTTACAAAATGTTTGGCAACAATGTAAATTCTTCAACACACCCACCTTGATGACGTGCACGCCACTTTGTTTGGCGTTGACTATAGTCTGACAATACCCAGTATTCAAGAAATCTGCAAAACTTCTCATTGTTGTTGTTATCAGTTCAGCACAAGTTAGGACTGGCTTAACTTAGAAAAACTCACTGCCATTTATTTAATTACCCAATTTAAAAACGTTTTAGATTAAAAATTGGTAAGATTGTGGTGATTGTGGTCGATATCGAGCACTTAAAGCTGTAAACTACAAAGCCCTTCAGACAAAAATCTATTGACTTTTGGACCATGGATCATATGAACTTTTTGACTTGTTTTGACCCGCCCTATTACCCATTTTAATAATGCCTACCATAACGTTTACACCCTGTACTTTGTGTCAGACATGTCCAATAGGTGCGAAGGTTGAGATCAGAAAAACATAAAAAATCAGATTACCCTCCCCACCCCTAAAACCGCCTCCCCCAATTTTTTACCCCTAAATTTTCTTACGAAAAAATTTAATTTGAGCAACAAAGCTTTTCCGTCCTAGGCATAGTAGTAAACTTGTGTGAAGATTTCATCAAAATACGACAGGTACTTTGCAAGGCATAGCGAACAATGTATCCTCCTCTCCCAATGTTTATATGAAAATAGTTTCCTACTTTTCCGTACTGAATCTTCCTGAGGAAGTACTGAAGTACCCTGTATGAAAATATGCTAACTTTTAAATTTTTAGGTGGAAAAATTTATAGACAACACCTCCTTTGAGGTGGCGTTATCCGGCAAGCAGTTCTTTGTTATTAAAAGAGATCTGATTCTAAAGGTAGACTAACTAGAATTACTACCATAGAGCAATTGAATCAAAATTTTATTTTTACAGATAGCTGGTACAATAGTAACATATGAATTAGTTATTATTCAGCTGAACATCGATGAACTCAAAAAGGCCGAATACTAGATCGAGGAGATAACCACTGACATTGCATTTAAACGGAGTTTCTTCAGCTAGGATCACTTTCGACCTCTTTCGAGATGGGCGAATCTTTTTGAAAACTCGTGGATCATTACCAGATAAAATCCTGGGGTCCGCTGAAAAACAAGTAGACTTAGCAGCTATGGGTTACAATGGTGATAGGAATTATTATTATTATTATAGATAATATTGGAGTTGAGCAAGAGTCATAAACTCCAAAGATAAGAAATTGAACATAAAAAATAGTAATAAAGATAATGTCATAAGAAAACTAGAGTTCATCGTGCATTTACCTGTCACAAATGTCGTTCCAAGTATTAAATACTCGGTTAGACAGGGAACACTGGCGAGGTGTCTCTTTAATTAGTTTATACTCGTAGTTGGGGCCTCGCAGGTGGTTGGTGTTGAGACGGAAAAGTCAGTGCCGAAGATACCATGCAAATCTCTGCAAGTAATTATCAAGTTCCCACGTAAGCGTCTATCGGAGAAGTAAGCTAAATTGAATAGATTTAACCATTCCTCGTAACAAGGTCGTTGAATACAGTATACTTTATCTGAAGTCACTTGAAACACTGTGAAATACCGGGTGCGTTTTATATATCTATATTTAACACGCTCTGTTGCTGCAAAAATCGCCAAATTTCGCAGCAAATATCCCCCGTATAAGAGATCAAAGGCAGTTTCACCGGTCCACGTGGAGTAAAGCACGCCTATGCGTGGACATAGCCAATGAGAAAGCGTGTATTTCAGAGCTCGGAACAAGTGCAGGTTGCTACTGAAAATTGAAACAGTTTAGCCAGTGCCGTGTAGCGGTGAATAAACGTGTTTTCTTTAGTCTGTCCGTGTTTTTTCATAGATTTTATTAGTTTGTGTGTTTTTGACTTTTGAATACTCAGTTTACTTGTTGATTTAATTGTTGTGTTGATTGTTCTTGTGTGTCCTAAATATGGCTCTTTGGAGACCTTGGGAAAATGCTCCAAGCCATGAGGAGGTGGTTGATGAACCTGTGCAGGCAGAATTCTTTCATAAAGATTTAGAGGAACAGACCCAAAGAGTAATCCTAAATATGTATGATTGTCTGAAAAACGAAAATCCAGATTCCTCGCAAAATCAAATATTAAACAGAATTTGTATCCTGACAAAAATCAGTCGGTCTACCATTTATCGGGTTATAAAAAGGGGAGATGTAGTCAACCATTCCTTCCACAGAAAGCGCATAGGGCAAAAATTAAAAAGAATAGACGTGGGTTTTCAGGAAGATATTCGTCGTATAATATACGGATTTTATAAAGAAAATTTGGTGCCCACGTTGGAAATGATACGGGATAAATTAAAAGATTATCCTGAAGATTTTTATAATTACAAATGTTTAGACCCACTGCACTGTATTGTAAAACTGTGTGGTTTTCAATACAAAAAATTAGATAAAAGAATGGTGATTATGGAGTCGTCTCGAATCGTTGAATTGCGCCAAGAATTTTTGCACAAAGTTAAAATCTATAGAGAGCAGAAAAGAAATCTGATTTACCTGGATGAAACGTGGTATGATACCCATGATGTTGTGCAGTACGGCTGGGTTGACGACAGCAACAAGTGCATTTTAAATGCACCGTGCAACCGTGGAAAACGAATCATTATTCTTCATGCTGGCAGTGAAAATGGATTTATACCTAATGCCTTGCTGTTATCTGCCAAAAATATCAAAGAATCATGTGCCGACTATCATGAGGACATGACCTCCGACTTATTTGAAAAGTGGATAGAGCAGCAGTTGATACCAAACATTTCCCCAAATTCAGTGATTATTATGGACAATGCGCCATACCATTCCCGACAGAAAAACAAAATTCCGAATACAGGCACAAAAAACAAGACATTATTGATTTTATGAAGGATAAGGGAATGGGAATACCACAAAAATCAACCAAAGCCATATTATTGGATCTTATTAAAAGACAAAAATTTGAAAAAGAGTATGTTGTTGACAATCTGCTTCAGCAAAATGGCCATGAAGTATTACGTCTACCTCCATATTACTGCATTTTTAACCCGATTGAGTTGGTCTGGGCAGCTTTAAAAAAAAAAGTAAGAAAACATAATCAGACCCCTCAATTAAGTGAATCGCTATTGGCCACAATAAGAGATGCAGTATCTCATATTGCTGCCACAGACCTATGGAAGCAGTGTTCTAGGCATATTATTGAAAAAGAATATGAATATTGTGTTTTGCCTCCTGTAAATCCCGTTGTAATTCCTCTACAAGATGACTCTAGCGACAGCTCCAAAGGCGAGGATGATATATAAAGACCTATAATGTAAGTCTTTATATACGTTTTTATATACCTACCTGCTATGTAAATATTTGCCTATGTCAAACGTTGGAATTCTGTAATTTTTCCATTTCTTAACTTTCAGTCAACATAAATTAAACTCCCAATATAAGTATTTTTTATCCCAAATCAAAAAAATAAGAAGATAGTAAAATCCATTTATTGTGATATAAAAACATTATTATTATCGTTCTAAATAAATAACCGCACGCCTATGATACGTCATGAAATTACAAAGGACGCGCCGACCAAAGGTTTTTATGCTATTTCAAGTGACTTCAGATAAACCTTACGTGCGTGTCGCTACCAAACACGACCTGCGAATTCCATAACTGGCCTGACATATGATGTGTTTCGAAAAGGTACATACTCATTTTGGCCTTATTCGTTGAGTATTGGATATGCTCGGACTAAGAGGGTATCCGATACAACGCCTCTTAAATCTTTGTGACTGGAGACGTAGGAGATATCCTGGTTCCCGATGATGCAATTGAACTTTGGGTTGTTGTTTCCAACGTGTAGAATGCAGCATTGTCCAGGCTGAAGAGCAGCAGTCATCTTCTGGACCATTGGTTCCCAAAGTGGTCTATATCGACCCCTAGGGGTCTATGCCAACCTGCAAGGGGTCTACGTCAGCGAGAACAAATTTGGGGGCCCATGAAATGAATATGGGGGTCCACGATAGTGGATCTCAACACATACACTGATAGTACCTATTTACTTACATCATACTATCTTATAATATCAAAACATATACATTATTTATAAAAGTACCTATGAAGTAAAAAATGTATACATTATATATGTTTATAAAATTGTGTAAGTTGTAGGATGTTGGTATTCGCTTTGTGGTCGCAATACATTTTGAACTTGTAAAAACCTGAGGGTCGCAATCTCATAGCTTCGCTACCTTGTACTGATTCGTCACTCTATAAATACGAATGTGGGACAAATACGTTTATTCGTTTCCTGAATCTTGAAAAGGAAAGTGCTAAGAAAATATTTTAAAAACTATAAACAGATAGTATATCACACAAATTATGGTGAGTCAGTGTTATTTTGTTTGAGAGTGCTGGAGAAAAGTAAGTACATTATTTTTTATTAAATTTTAGTTTTGTACTCGTAGTTAGCAAAGATAGATAAATTACGCCAATAATGACTTTAGTTATTAGTAGTTAAATATTCAATCATGCAAAATTACACAAGTACTCCTCAATAGTTTATTTTTGAAAGTTTTAGCAATCGGTAATATGATTACAGTGCAGTCTCTGTAATTCGAGCTAATTGTTGCAAGATGTTCGAATTATGGAATGTTTTCGGAAAAATCAAAAAATATTTTTAATATACAGCTGCTGGATTTTCTGTCTTATTTAAATAATTTAATTTTGCCCACAGATGACTGATGCCATGTCCGAATCTAAAAAGAAATGTAGACAGTACAGTGTTGCTTATTTGAAATTTGGCTTCATTCCATCATTGCCGGACAAACAATCGCCTATGTGCCTTTTATGCAACAAAGTTTTGGGCAATGACGCTATGAAACCATCTAAACTGCAAGATCATCTGGGAAGATGCCACCCTTATAAAACAGAGAAAGATTTGAAATAGTTTCAAACACTCAAAGATAAATTTCAGAAGAGACCTACACTGGACAGAATGTTCACTTTGACGTCACAAAGAAATGATGATGGTTTGCGGGCGTCTTACAATATCCCGTTACTTATAGCAAAACCCGGAAAACCGCATACTATCGGAGAGAAGTTAATTTTGCTAGCCGTTGAAGAGGTTTTAAAAACTGTTTTACACAAACCTGCATCTGATATCATTAAAAGAATTCCCTTAAGCAACAATACTGTTGAAAGACGTATTGATGCAATGAGTTCTGATATTGAAAGCTTCTTATGCAATTATTTGCAAACGACCCATTTCTCTATACAACTGGACGAGTCAACTTTACCTGATAATGCAGCATTATTATTGGCACATGTTCGTTTTATTATGAATCAAGAAATCTACGAAGAACTGCTCTTCGCAAGAACTTTGATAACCGACACTAAAGGTGAATCAATATTTCATATTTTGAAGGATTACTTCATTGAAAAAGCAATTCCTTTATCAAATATAATATCAGTAGCTACAGATGGAGCACCTGCCATGGTTGGACGTTATCGTGTATTTATAAGCTATTTAAAACAAAATGTGTCAGGGGTGTTAGCAATACATTGCGTCATCCATCGACAACATTTAGTTGCTAAAAATTTGAGTGTTTGATTGCATGAATCACTTCATTTAGTCATTGATGCAGTAAACCGAATCCCAAGCAACGCGTTGAATACGCGGTTATTTGCGCAGTTGTGTGAAGAAGATGACGAACACTTTCATCAATTACTCCTTCACACTGAAGTACGCTGGCTGTCGAAAGGCTTACGTTTGACATGATTTTTTGCACTTTTTGAGACTATTTTAGAATGTCTGGATACTAAAGATACCATTTTAAAAGAAAATTAAATGAAGAGGAAAACAGACATCGCCTATTTAACAGATTTGTTTACAAAATTTAATATGGTTAATTTGCAATTACAAGGCGAAAGTTTAAATTTGATAAAAACAAAGTCCATCTTATCAGAGTTTCTTGCCAGTGTTAAACTAATGAAGCAAAATATTGGACGGGGCGAATTTTCTCAGTTCCCCAATTTGTCACAGACAAGCTGCCAGGAAGACGACGTTTCAACTTACGTTCAACATTTAAATGCCCTCTATTCAGATTTTGAATCTAGGTTTCAGGATATTTTGACTATGGTAATACCACCGTGGATAATTAATCCATATGGTGACATAGAAGAAACGAATGTCATAATACAAGAGGAACTGACTGAACTAAGTACAAACGAAGAACTTAAGGTTCAGTTTAAAAACGGGAATCAGCAATTTTGGCTGCAAAACAACATACCCGTTACTTATCCCGTATTATGGAATATAGCGAGGAAATTTTTAATTTCCTTTCCATCGTCATACCTAGTGGAAAGGGGGTTCAGCGCTGTTACCAATCTCCTAACGAAAAAAAGAAACAGACTGGACATCATTAGCCGAGGAGATTTAAGATTAACCCTTACAAAATTGACGCCAAATGTTGATAATTTATTATTAAAGCATCAGGTTTATCCTTCTCACTAAAAATATTGACTTATTGCTTATGTTATTTTATTTATAGTTTATTTTATGTTTATTGGTGTCTGACCAATAAATGCCCGCATTGGGAATAAGTGCCCGCATTGATTTTTTTAAGAATCCCCCTTTATAGAAAATATTTTTTTTTAAAAGTAGGGGGTCTACCCAACAGGGAAAAACATGGCAAGGGGTCTACGACACAAAAAAGTTTGGGGAACTCTGTTCTGGACCATTGGTTGTCAAGGTCGCGTGGTCCCAACACGGAACCCTGAGGAACGCCGCTAGTTACCGCATTACTGGTTGATAGTGAATCGCCTATCCTCACAGTGAACTTTTTCATTGAGGGAAGGCCTCATCCACTTTAACAGGTCTCCAGTTATCCCAAGGTGTTCGAGCTTGTAGAGAAGGTGTGCTTGCGGTACTCGATCAAACGCTCTCGAAAAATCTATAATTATCGACGTAACTTTTAAGCCAGCATTGAGGTAGTGAATCAGAAGTGAACAAGGAGGTAGATGTCTTACTTGGTGAGGTCCTAAGCATGCTTCGGCGGTTCTGCCCCGACAGCATTGAATATTTTTTAAGTATTTTAGAAAAATGTTTGCTAAATATTTGTAGCGACAGATTTTTTAATATTTAATAAATATATTTCTTATAGATTTATAAAATATTCATTATATATATATATATGTAGTATATATAATTCATATATTTTTGCGATATTTTTTCCAAATATTTAGAAAATATATGAGGAAAGATTTTGAAAATATCAATTTTATATTTTGATGTAATATCTAATATTTTTCGTAAATATGGATTTTCAAGCATTAATCTGATACATATTTCCAGTGTATATAGAAAATTCTTTCATTGGTTATTTTAACAGAACTTGTAGGAATGCTTATATAAAATTGGGTTTATAAAGAAAATTCAATCTAAATATAATGATTTAATTTGCTAGAAAAATATTATTAAAAAAACATTCTAAGCCTATTCTGCATATTGCAAGTCCACTTCTAAAAAAAAACAAACTTACTGATTATGAAGTATTATTGAATACATAAGCTGCTTTTCAGTGTATTTATGGGAATATATACTAAGTGACATATAAATTCGAACAACAAATTTAAATGGTTTTATTTTATTAAAAGTTGGTGAATGTATTTATCTTACTGTAAATACCAAGTGAAAAAATTTTCAGCCTTATCAGTTGGACATTCCGGTTTTTATACTGCTTTTTTTTAATTCACTAACGCTCTAAAAATGAATATTTCAGCCGCAGTAAAGAATCAACGTTGGCGGATTTTGGTTCTTGACATCCTTTACGATCGGTTACGATGCCTAGAGTACGGAGACCTGTACGATTTCGTCAACTTCGTGAGTTTGATAGGGGCCGTATAGAGGGACTTCGGGAAGCTGGACTTTCTTTTCGGGCAATTGCAGTTAGAGTGCAAAGAAGAGTAGACACTGTGGTTAGGTGTTGTCAGGCACGGCTTCGAGAAGGCCGTACGCAAAGAGCAAGGGGCACTGGACGCCGGCGTAGAACAACAGACCGTGAAGATCGCTGCCAAAGATTATTGGCCATAAGGGACCGTTTCTCCACTACCAGGTCCATTGCAAATGAATGGTTTGCAGAACACGGAAGACCTATTGGTATGCGAAGTGTTTACCGACGAATGAGAAGTTTCGGCTTGTTTTCATACCGGCCACACTGGGTCCTCCCTTTAACTCGAGAACACCGACGTAATCGCCTTGAGTGCTGCAGACAACGGTCACTCTAGGATCAGGAATGGAACAGTATTGTCTTTAGTGACGAGTCTCGATTTTGTTTAGAAGCACTTCGAGAGGAGTTGGTGGTTGCCTGGAATGAGATACCACAGTAGGACATTGACCACCAGATCAGAAGCATGCCTAGGCGCGTTGGAGAATGCATAGCACATCAGGGTGCATCCACACATTATTAAAGGTCAAAGGGCTTTAAAGCAGTGCAATCATTTTGAAATTTTTATCATTTACTTATTATGCTTCATTAAGTACTTATACAAAATTTTATTAAAATAAAACCATTTAAACTGGGTGTTCGGATTTATATGTCACTTAGTATAAAATGCAGTGGATCAATATTGGTGCTGAGTATGGTGAGTCACTCCGAGTAGGTCAACTGGGTCACTGAAAAGCAGCTCTATAGTGCACTTAAAAGGACCCCACATTTTCTGCCTATGATAGTTCGAGATTTGGTTAATTTTTAAGAAAATTTGGTATGTTATTTTAGATATCATGATGAAAAATGTCCAACTTCATCCTTTGACTAACTTTTAAAGAAAAGGTTATTGAAAATAGATCGCTTATTGATTTTGTTGAAATAAATAAATAAAAATAATAATAATTGAGATATTTAAAAAAAGCATTTTTGATGTATTTTGATCAAGTTGCGATTATGTCTTTTCATAGGGATGTTATGAACATAATTTTCGTAATCATTCTCAGATAAATCCATCAATACCAAATAACTGTTACACTTCAAGGCTATTTATGGTCTTGTGAATATCTTTATACTCAGCTGGAACTAGTCAGATAAATTAAGGTATATAATTATCGAAAAACTTATTCGCTTCCCTTTTCAAAAAAAAAACACTCAAATAATGATTCACTTGGAGGTAACGGGAAGCACGCTATCATAGTGAAAGTCACAGGTAAAATGGATGCCGGCAAGCGGGTCGCCTCAGGCCGACTTGCTATTATCCCATTGGGCGCTCTAGGTCACACGCACATGCGCCGTAGCCGAAAATATGAAATGAATATTTTCTAAATACTGGAGATTTAATATACTAAGTGACATATAAATCCGAACATCCAGTTTAAATGATTTTATTTTAATAAAATTTGGTATAAGTACTTAATGAAGCATAATAAGTAAATGATAAAAATTTCAAAATGATTGCACTACTTTAAAGTACTTTGACCTTTAATAATGTGTGGATGCACCCTGATGTGCTACGCATTCTCAAACGCGCCTAGGCATGCTTCTGATCAGGTGGTCAATGTCCTCCTGTGGTATCTCATTCCAGGCAACCACCAACTCCTCTCGAAGTGCTTCTAGAGTCTGAGGAGGACGTTGCAAATTGAGCAATCTCCTACCCATCATATCCCACAAGTGCTCAATTGGGGATAAGTCGGGAGATCTTGGTGGCCATGGTAACAATGTGACATCATTATGTTGAAAGAAGTCTATTGTGACTCTTGCAACATGTGGTCGGGCATAATCTTGTTGGAAAGTTGGATCTGCCAGGGTGTCAAGATAGGGTAAAAGATGGGGTTCTAGAACTTCGTGGATATAACGCTGCGCGTTCATGTTACCTCTGATGAAGATTAAAGGTGACCTGGAACCATAAGTTATAGCACTCCAAACCATAACTCCAACAGTGTGATGAACATGTCTTTCAACAAAAAACTGTGGATTCCTTACAGTAAGATAAATACATTCACCAACTTTTATTAAAATAAAACCATTTAAACTGGGTGTTCGGATTTATATGTCACTTAGTATATTTTCCAGTGATCGAAAAGTAAATGTTTAATGAATATTATAAAAGAAATATTGTATTTGTAATATTTAAAAGATATTGAATAAATATTTAATGAAAATATTATATTACAAATATTTATTAAATATTTGTTTAAAAAAGTAAGATAGCAATATTATTAAATATTAAATAAATATTTAATGAATATACTGTATTTATTTTGTATTTTTTTACGTGGTATGTAAATTCTCCTGTACATGCTATTCTGGATCACCTTGCATATTGCTGTTTATTATAAGTTGGATCGAAATTTAAATACTGAACTGATATCCAAACGATGTTTTGACAGGATTGGTCATACAGCGTGGAAGGCATAAAGTATATAAAATCATGCAATAACTCTACTAAATAACAATATTATGACCACAGCACGCACACAGTTGTAATCGATTTTCAGTTTTCGAGGGAAAGTTTTCTTGTTTACATTAAAATTCTACCAGTTCAAGTTTAACAACACTTGTACCTATTTGAAACAATCCTCAAATTCTTATATGAAATTAAAAAATATAAAGCCGCACCAAAAAAGTATGGTCATATTGATTCATTGATATACGATTGTTAAAGGTAAGTAATGCTACATATTTGACTCTTCACGACTTTTATGATACGTTCTTATAACTACCCTTAAATTGTAAGTAATGCTTCTCTCTTGATGTCTTTTTAGATATAAGTAACCTGAGCGGTTTTGCCACAGTGAACGACATATAAAAAAATTCGATGCTTACGAACATAGTATGAAAGAAGCATGAAGAAGCAACGTGTAGACGATCTTTGCATCCTTTTTAAATCAAGGCTGCACATGAACTCATTTCAAGTAGCTTCCAAACCGTCGATACTAGTTGCTCAGGTGCTTGGATTCTTTCCAGTGCAATTCGATGGCAACGATTACAGATCAGTAAGGTTTAAGTGGCTCTATTGGAAAACCATCTATAGTTCTATTACTTTCGTACTGCTCACAGTGCAAACCGTCGTTGTGCTTTATACTGAATTTCAGAAAAAACTTAGTCTTATTACAATGAGTAAGTATTCCTTGTTGTCTGCAAAATCTTAGCTTTCGCTTTTTTGACAAATCATCGATACAAGATATATATATATATATAGGTGAAAAATTAAAGCTTCCGCCTTTCAATGGACTTTGCTAGAGAGAATTAAAAAAAAGTATAAAGAGTCCTCTTTGCTTAAATTTTGTCGAAGTATCCAACAAAAGACGGAAGCTTTAATTTTTCACCTAACTGGTCTAGACGACAATGACCACGTCTCAAGTTATATATATGTATATATATACAGGGTGTCCCAGAAGTCGACGTCAAGCCGAAACCGGGTGATAGGCAAAGTCATAACAGCTATCAAAAAAATATTTAAAAAAATTTTATGTATGTGTTTTGAAAATTATAGGTCTTTGAAAAAGATTTTATTTTTACAGTGTAATGATGAATAATGCATCTTCAAACTGGTGTCTCAACCTTACTGCCAACTTTTCTCGTTCAGGAAAAATTGACACTTATTTCCCAACCAAGTATTCCAAAGTAAAACTTTGCTCAACTTTAACTGGCTGTACTGGAAAAAAATGTACTACGAGAGTTTGGCAAGTAACCTTAAAAATTGACGCATTTAATAACGATTCCAAAATGGTATAACACTTAGAAGATTACTCGTTAACTTATGCACAATTTTTATTTGAAAAAAAACTGATGAAAATTTTTCAAAATTTCCTAATTAAACAGCGATTATGAAAACGCACAAGGAGCCTTAAGGATAACTGTTTGCACAACAGTGGGCGTCAAAATGCTGCTGATGATGATTTACTTTTACAACAAATACTCAAACTGTTTTCCTTCAGCCGCAATACACGCTCGACATCTTGAAAAAGATCGGGTTATTAAACGAGCGAATCCACGGTTATTAACAAACTCAGCTGCTTCCAATAGTCTTTGCCGCAGCTTAGCTACATTTTGAATCGGCTTGCAATACACTTTTTCTTTTACAGTTCTCCAGTAAAAAAAATCTTACGGATTCAAATCTGGTGACCGGGCTGACCACGGTATTGTACCAGTCCGCCCTATCCATCTGCCGGGAAAGTTTTGATCGAGATACTCTCTCACTGAGAGTGCATAGTGCGCTGGGCAGCCATCATGCTGAAACCACATGTCCCTGTAAATACTCAGTGGCACGTCCATCCAATAAATTTTCTAAATGATTTTGCAAAAAACCTAAATAAACCTCAGCAGTCAAAGTCTCTGGGAACTCAAACGGACCGATTATTTTACCATTTGAAATTCCTGTCCAATGGTTTATCTTGAAGCGATATTGAGATTTATTTTCTCTCATCAAATGTGCGTTTGCTACGTGCCACTCGTGTAAGTTATGCAGGTTCATGTACCCATCTTTCTTAAATGTGGTCTCATCTGACCATAAAATTTTTTCAAAGAACCGTGGATCTCCCTGTGTCTTTCTAACATTGTGCGACAAAAAGCAACTCGGGGCTCATAATCCCGGGGCAGAAGAGCTCGAACACACTGTACGTGGTATGGATGGAGCATGTTTTTTGCAAGATTCTATGGACTGTAGTTTTGGGCACACCTGTTTTTAGTTCTATTGCACGCACTGAAGTACTCGGGTCTTCTTCGACAGCTCCTAGCACCACGTCTTCGTAAGGAAGGAAAGGTCTTCCCTCACCGTGTGATTGGTTTGGTAATTGGCCCTCTGAGAACAGTAAGCGGTGCACATTTTGGAACACTCGATGATCTGGATGACGAGCTGCATTCGGGTACCTCTCACAGTAAAGTCTTGCTGCAGCACTAGCGTTGCATCTGCATTCCCCATAAATGAGGTGCACGTTAGCATATTCTGGTACGGTGTACACGGACATAGCGGCACTGCACAATCACACTATCAAAGATAGTCTAAGGAAAGCAAATGTTGTTTTGAAGAGAAATTAAACAGTCCAAATCCAATTCACAAGCGATCAACAGTCCAGTTCACGAATCCAAAATTAGTAACAGTACGAAATCAACAAGCACGAACATGTAAAGATGCGCAGTAAACGAAGGAGTACTGATCGATATCAAAGTGTGCAATAGCAAGTAAGTGATGTGCTTCATCCATACCAAACAGCGTGTTCAACCTCTCCTGCCCCGGGATTATGAGCCCCGAGTTGCTTTTTGTTGCACAATGTTAAAAAGACACAGGAAAGACCCACAGTTCTTTGAAAAAAATTTATGGTCGGATGAGATCACATTTAAGAAAGATGGGTACATGAACCTGCATAACTTACACGAGTGGCACGTAGCAAACCCACATTTGATGAGAGAAGATAAATCTCAATATCGCTTCAAGATAAACCATTGGACAGGAATTTTAAATGGTAAAATAATCGGTCCGTTTGAGTTCCCAGAGACTTTGACTGCTGAAGTTTATTTGGATTTTTTGAAAAATCATGTACAAAATTTATTGGATGGACGTGCCACTGAGTATTTACAGGGACATGTGGTTTCAGCATGATGGCTGCCCAGCGCACTATGCACTCTCAGTGAGAGAGTATCTCGATCAAAACTTTCCAGGCAGATGGATAAGGCGGTCTGGTACAATACCGTGGCCAGCCCGATCACCTGATTTGAATCCTTTAGATTTTTTTACTGGGGAACTGTAAAAGAAAAAGTGTATTTCAAGTCGATTCAAAATGTAGCTAAGCTACGGCAAAGACTATTGGAAGCAGCTGAGTTTGTTAATAACCGTGGATTCGCTCGTTTAATAACCCGATCTTTTTTAAGAAGATGTCGAGCGTGTATTGTGGCTGAAGGAAAACAGTTTGAGCATTTGCTGTAAAGGTAAATCATCATCAGCAGCATTTTGACGCCCACTGTTGTGCAAACAGTTATCTTAAGGCTCCTTGTTCGTTTTCATAATCGCTGTTTAAGTAGGAAATTTTGAAAAATTTTCATCTTTTTTTTTTCAAATAAAAATTGTGCATAAGTTAACGAGTAATCTTCTAAGTGTTATACCATTTTGGAATCGTTATTAAATGCGTCAACTTTTAAGGTTACTTGCCAAACTCTCGTAGTACATTTTTTTCCAGTACAGCCAGTTAAAGTTGAGCAAAGTTTTACTTTGGAATACTTGGTTGGGAAATAAGTGTCAATTTTTCCTGAACGAGAAAAGTTGGCAGAAAGGTTGAGACACCAGTTTGAAGATGCATTATTCATCATTACATTGTAAAAATAAAATCCAAAAAAAGTTAATATTTGTAGTAACAGGAGTTGACAGACTGCCGTAGAGTGTGAAATTTCTATACCTTTTTCAAAGACCTATAATTTTCAAAACACATACATAAAATTTTTTTAAATATTTTTCTGATAACTGTTATGACTTTGCCTATCACCCGGTTTCGGCTTGACGTCGACTTCTGGGACACCCTGTATATATACAGGGTGGCGCATCGAAAACGAAACAGACGCATTTACTGGCAGCTCAGTTTTTTTTTTGGAAAAACGCACGTGCAGCCCCCTAAGCGGGCGTGACACCACCCCCAAAATCTTAAATGGAAAAGGGGGGTCGAATGATACCTTATTTTAAAGGTCATTCAATTCCCTTTATAATGATGTAAAATACATGAGCTTCAGTTAAGTAGTTTTGAAAATTTATTGATGTAAAGCTTAAAGTAGACTTTAATAGTACCGAACTGAAGTACATTACTTTTATATCATTATAACGGTCATTGAAGGACCTTTAAAATAAGGTATCACTCGACCACCCTTTCCATTTAAGATTTTGGGGGTGGAGTCACCCCCGCTTAGGGGGCAGCACGTGCTAACGTGATTTTTTGCCAAACTTGTGTCCCCCTCGAAAACAAAATCGACGGGTCTGAGCGTTTTTTAAAAAAAAAAATGAGCTGCCAGTAAATGCGTCTGTTTCGTTTTCGATGCGCCACCCTGTATACATATATATGAATTGAATGATCCAGAGAATATTCAACCAAAAAATGGCTGTGGAGAAAATGTTGTATGTTGAAAATTGACATAAATACATATCCAATATAGTAGTTTTTGTCTAAATAAGTATCGCATTGCTTCTATGCAAAGTTTTTAAAACTTCGAGAACACCTTATTTCTAATCTTTGTCAACTGCTGTTGTAGATGGAATATTGTTTGCTATAAATGTTGTTGTTCAAACTGTTCTTTTCTACAAACTGGCGTTTAGATGGCAGGCTTGCTTGAAAGATTGGCACTGCTTGGAGATAAGGATGAATAATTATGAAGTTATCGGAAACTTGAAGAGAAACCTTAGCTGTATCACTTTTGTGGTGATTACTGTTGGATTTGGTGAGTGTAAGGTGCTATGCTAGAGTTTGTGAAACCTATCGAGATGTTCTTTATTAGTAGAGCACTTTGTGTGGCAAAAAAAGACTGATACTGAGTCATCGCGAGACAGATTGTACCACCAAGAAGCACCAAGGATCAATATACAAAGAAGTACGATGAGTTATGCTCTCGTACTTTGCAACTTGATTATAGAACATTTTTATAACATTTCTGATCTCTAGAAAACAAAGCATATTCTCAGGTTCAACTAAATCCACCTGCTTCCTATCTCTGTGACTATGACTAACTATATACGATGTCGTTTCATGCTTCTCAGCAATTACACTTGACAACAAATTTTAGTTTTTTAATT